GCGCATCCAGCGCCTCCGCAGCCTCATGGTGAACGCGGGCCCCGAGCCGGCGGCGGCCGAGCGCGGCGCGGCCCGGCGCAGGAGGGCGCCGCGCAACGTCCTCACCAGGATGCCGCGTAAGGGCGCGCGGGGCCCGGCTGCCGCGGGGGTTCGGGAGCAGGAGGATGAAGATGGAGGGTTTGGGCGCCGGCAGGGTCAGGCGTGCGGGCTTCGGCGATGGCAGAGGGCTCGGAGGAGGGTTTGGGGCAGGGAGAGGGAGGTGGGGTTTGGGGATGGGAGACGGGGATGGAGGTTTGGGGTGGGAAAGGGGCAGGGATGGGGGTGTGGGACAGGTGGGGAAGGGATGGGGCTCTGGGGCTGGCACTGGCTCTGCAGGCTGGTGGTGCCAGCGGTTGACAGGCGGTTGGGCAGGGGGTCTGGGGAGGCTGGAGAAGGGGATATGGGCTGGGATGGGGGCTGGAGGTCTGGCGGGACCGTAAGGGCTGAAGATGCAGCCTGGGTGTGATGGAGGGAGTAGGGAAGGGCTGGGACCTTGGTGGACGTGGAGTGCGGAGCCGTGCAGGGGTGCAGGACAGTGGCTGGAAAGGTCCCTGCGGGGAGGTTTGGAGCCGAAGGCGGGAGCGCAGGTGGAACCAGCTGGTCTTTAGAAAAGAGGAGCTGCTTAAGAGACTCGGGAGAGAGGAGGGTAGTGGTCCGGTCAGGTGTGAGTGGTCAGCGAGTGCTGGGCCACCTGGGTGCAGAAATAGAGAACAGCCCCTTCTGGCTACTGGAACAGCCAGCCCCTTCTGGCTACTCAGGGCTGCACTGATTAGTTCATGCTGACTTCCTCCTCTGCTGATTGTATTCATCCTCTTGATTTCAAGAAAAAAAGGGAAAAGAAGCTGTTAGGCTTGAAAAGAACCAGGCGTCAGGTTTGAACCTGTGCAGCTAGTAGTTAAAACATAACCGCCATGTGAGTCTGTGATACCCTGGTAAACAGTTCTTGGTCGCTACCTGTACGTCCTGGGGGCATAAATACAGTGCTGGAGTTCCCAGTGACGTGGTGGAGGAGCAGTGCAGTGGCGTGGGAGGCAGCTATAATGTTGTTAAGTTCATTACCTGTGATGAGGGTATGAGTTTCTTGGGTGAATTTATACACGCATTCAGGGTAATAGCCTATAGACATTAAAGGGTGCAGTTTGGGCACCTATACCAAAAACAATTGACATGGCAGTCAAATGAGATGTAACTTAGGTGCACTTAATTACAAATATAGCATCTTTTTTGGAGTCAAATATCTCTTATAACAACCAGTACTGCCTCAATGTTCTTTTTCTAAAAACAGCAAAGCCCAAAATGTTCAGGTTTGAATGCCTAAAGCAGATCTTTTTTCATACTTAGATGCCAGAACACGTTCATTGCCTCTATGTCTCCTCATGTGAGCTTGGGGTTCTGCACAAATTCTGTGCAGAATAAATATTGATTTAGGATCTTCGCATAAAGAATCTGTATTTAGATGACTGAAACCTAGAAGAACCTCTCTAAGAAATAGGTTTAGTGGTGGTCTAGCAAAAAAATTAGGTACTTCTCTTCAGAGCACATGTTTAATCTCTGCATGGTGAAGGAATGAGTGATTAGACAACGTGGACTGTGAAGATGTCTGGATAACTGATATGTGAAGTGCTGCTCGGTTGCGTGGAGGGTGAAAAATTATTAATATTGGTATTAACAGCATCAAAAGCTGCAGAAGAATCTAGCTGCATGCAGAGCCCGGTCATAGCAGGCTTGGATACTTGCAATGACATGGTGTTGCAGAAATAATTTACTCACATTGCTATTTTTATTTTTTTCTGAGAAGTGGGTGTCTGATTACTGAAAGGTTTCTTGAATAATGTGTTCTGCCTTTTGAGCTGGTGAAGCTGGAGCCTCATGTAATACGGAGAAGTAGGAGCAGCCTGGTGGAAAAGCAGTAGCTTTATGGCCTGACAGTCTGGACAGCACAAGCTTTACGTTTGATATTTTTATGCGGTACAGGTGTTATCATGCAGCCCAGTAATGCAGATCAGCTATTTTTGGTCTGCAGTATGCATTTTGTAATGTGCAAATTAAAGCCTAAAGCACAAGGGGAGAGTTCATCTCCATTTCAGCTGTTTTTATTAATGTGAAGAGTTGTGTAGGGTGTATTTCAGGCAAATACTTTTCCTCAGCTATCAGGAATATCCGTACACTTCATGGTTGTGTTTCCTCTGAACCACAGTTAATTAAAATGAGGATTACCCAGGATCCTTTTTAAATACAGCAAGAATATTTTATGGTAAGACTGTTTTGGCTAATAAAGAGAGACCTTGATATTTTCGGCAATCTTTGCTGTCCTTAATGTGCCAGAGATTTGGTGATCTAGGAGTTACAGTCTAAGTGAGTTACAGTGTTTTGGGACTTCTGTTTTCTTCTTACCATAAAAGCAAATATTGTTCCAAGATGTGCTGTACTTGTACAGGAAAGCAGCTTTCTACATATTTTCCTCTATAAATGTGCTTGTCTAAAAATAAGTGACATTCTCTTTCTATTTTAGTTCATGAAGGCAGCCCGCTGGGAGAGCTTCATCGCTGCGTGCGAGATGGTGTAAAAATCAACGTCCATATCCGCACTTTCAAGGGGCTTCGTGGAGTCTGCACAGGGTTTTTGGTTGCGTTTGACAAGTTTTGGAATATGGTAATATGGTTTTGGAAATTTTGGAATATGGTTACTGTTCCCTTGATTTACACTGAAATTTGTGGCAGGTTTAAGCAAATAACATTTTGAGAATAAGAGTGTGATTTTGTGGTCCATAAAGCTAATTTGTCCTTGCACTGAGTGCTGGATTTCCAGTCCTAGTGGACTGAGTATCTAGAGTATGCACTAGAGTATCTGAGAGATGCTTAGCCATTTTAGAGACGGTCTTAGGTGAGGATAAGGGGGAAATTTGAGTTCCCAGCAGTTTCAGAGGATTGGATTAGAATACACCAAGGTAGAGTATGAAAAATATCACAAGCTTCTAAAGCTTTCTCTACAAAATCCAAACATAGTAGTAGCCAATTTTCTTTCACTAATAAGTCACTTACATGTCAGAGACAGAGGGTTGTCTCTTTCCTACTCTTTCACGACGATTTTAAAGACAATGGATAGAGATAGCAGCTATTAAAAAGTTGTGAGATTGGAGCTCTGAAATGGTTGGAAATAAGTGTGAAAAACAGAAGGATTTTGCAGGCAAGGCTCAGAAAGATCTTGCAAGTAATGCAGAATGGATGCTGAGCTTTGCAGCTCTGTTGCTCTCATACCGCATTATACCTTAGATGTTAAGAAGCCAGCTCCAAAGCACAGCTTGTTCCTAGGATGAACTGTCCCTGAAATAGAGCATAATTCATAATGCTGTGACACAGCTGGTTTGAAAGCCCTTTGTGTTTTTTATTTTGATTTTGAACTTGTCACTTCTTTAATCTTCTAGGCCCTCACAGATGTAGATGAGACATACAGGAAACCAGTCCTGGGCAAAGCTTTCTATGTTGAACCTCAGCTTACCCTAACCAGGGTAGGTAACTATCTCCCATTTTAATTTTTGGAATATCACATTTTTCAAAGTAGTAGAAAGGGAGCATTGACTGAAAAATAATATTTACATTTGAAATGTTTTACTTGCTTTTATTACAGATGACTTAAACATGACTTGAACTGGAAAATAAAATCTGGCCTTTCTGAAGGTATTTTGGCCATAGTTCAGTGTAACAGAAGCTCTGACTTTCAGATTCCTAATATCAGATCACAGTTGCTGCTAATACAATGTGATCTTCTGTAAAGTCACTTTGTGCTTTTTGATGCATTTGTTCTGTAGTGTCTAGCTGAAACTGTTGCCTGTCCTCCAACAGCCAAGCATAAATTCAATACTTTGTGCTGTAGCTAATATGGCACAAATATTTTGTTTTTTTTTTTTTTTGTGCCTGTGAGTGATCCAGCTCAAACTTGTTCTGAGAGGTGACTTGACAGTGCATAAATCTGATGCCAGAGTTTGTGCAACCCGCAGTATTTGTCTCCGATGCAGTTTGGTCATTTGAACTCCTTGTTGGTCCAAGTACTGTGATGACCAAGCTGCTTCATGCTGCTGCAAAGCAAGATACCATCTAGGACCAGCTGCACAAACAAAAGATTTCAAAGTGAAAACCTGAACATATAATAGATGAACTTTTGAACAAAAATAACTAAATAAAAAAGCTGTGACAGAGCTGTTCTGTTGAATGACAGAGCCTTCAGCCTTTTGAAAATCAGAGAAACATAGTTTCATTGTTAGGAATTTACTTTTAAATTCATGCAATTTAAATCTATTTTCTAATGGATCCCAAACTCTCTTTTTAAAAAGATTAGTTTAAAACAATTAGTTGTCATTGTTCTTTTAGCCTGTAGGACTGGCTTTCCATCCTGTTGCTAGGAAGAGACAGGCTCACCGAGAATGCTCTTCATTTATCCATATTTCATAAAAACAAACAAACAAAAMCCAAAAAACCCTTGCCTACTAGCCGAATAAAAGCTGTTTCKTTTCTAGTTTCTGTACTATGTATTCTTAGGTTAATGAGTCCGTACAGTACTTTGGATCTGCTGTTCTAACTTTTTGTTTGTTTGTTTTGTTTTCTGTTGTTTATGGTCTGCTCACCTCCCAGAATACCCTCAAGGCCTCCCTTAGTTTAGTTTGTTTAGGGGAGCACAAACCATCAGTTCCTCAGTTTGTCCTCCTTGATGATTGAGGCTCCTGAACAAGAGGATTTGTGTCCTGCCCAAGGAGGCAAGGGTGGAAATCTCTCTAGGGCTACTGATAATGTTCCAAGAGGGTTGTGGAAAGAGAACTAACGGAGCTACAGGAACAACAATGTGGTAGACTTGTGTTGTTCCTGCCACAAGCTAAATGCTACTGCACATCTGTATTGCTCCCTAATTGCATTCCATAATGATCTCACAAAAGGCACCTGTGCATGTGCATGAGATCTGTTCACCTTATATCACAATTTGGCTTTATCAAGAAATGCAGTTTTTATTGATAGTGAAGGTTCTTCCTTAACTGTTTATTGTGACCTCTGATTCAGGTACAAATATTCACCATGTAGAAGTGCAAAACAGGAGGCCTCCCTTGTTTTATGATGTTAAATGTTCCTTTACAGCTGTTTGACAGACTCAGACTGCAGGAGTCCTCAGCAAAGAAGGGAGCTGACTCAAAGACTGTCTCAGAGGAGCTAGTCCCAACAAATGACCCTCAGACGCTCGGATGGAAAGCTGGATCAGGACGGGGGAGAGCAGAAGATGAGCGTGAGAGGCAAAAACGCTTGGGCAGAGCTGGGGAGAAGATGGTGCCAGGTGACAGTCTGCATGTGGCCACCCGAGGTGAAGCTGACGTGGGTGGCGGGACTGCCCACGCAGAGGGTGCCAGTGCTGGTGGAACCCATGCAAGAAGCCAGTCTCGGAGAAAGAAGAGGCCCAAGGTGGATTATCAGCAGGTGTTTACACGCCACATAAACCAGATTTTTATTCGAGGAGAGAATGTCTTGCTTGTGCATTTAGCACACTGACCTGGCTGAGCCGTGTCGGTGTATTTACTTGATAGCATGAATTGCCGCTGTAGCTCTCATTGCTGTTTAACATTCATGTTGAGTATCGGGGTACTCTGGTGGGTTTCCCATTACCATAACAAGGTAGGGGAGRTGGTTCTAACTGGGGCATCGTGAGCTTGGTGCAAAGCAGCCTCCTGAGGTCTTTGCTGTGGGGAGAGTGGCAAGGGGGGTCTCAGAACAAGTTCAGAACATACTTGTTTCTGTGACATGAGGGAGGTGAGCACAGATCCCCGTGATCCTTAAAAAGAAGCTAAAAGGAGAGAGCTGGAAGAGAGTTTTGCTGTAGTTGGTTATACARGCTAACTGTAGCACACATTCAAGGAGCATAAATTCAGGCTTCCACCTGAAGCAAGTCAGTAATGCTGTATATTCACATGTCTTGAGTAATCTCAAAAGTTTACTAGTGAAACCAACAGTTTATCAGCTGTTGCTGTATGGATATGTTCTCTTCCAGATGTAATTCCAGTAGTCATTTTGAAGTAGTGTATAAGAAGGTGGGATGACATACTTCTGATRTCTGTTAGCTCTGTAATGCCCTGCGTGATAGAAAACCTCTTCTCAATTGTAACACTGTTTTTTGTTTTGTTTCTGTGAATGATGGCAAGATYTTAAATTTTCAGTATCAAAGCTTAGGCTCCCATTTGTGGTGCTTTTGCCCTGTATCACCAGCAAGCAGCTAATGTAGCTGATCCAGGGACCTCCATATTGGGGCTTTAGCTGTGAATGTTGTGGATGCATATCAAAAATGGTATTTTTATCATTCATCCATTTGCTACTTAGTATAATAGTGAAGTTTGCAAAGAAGTAGGATTTCTCAGATTTGAGCGTTTGTGCTGGACACAGTTGTACTGTATCTAAGCACCTTCCAACTTCCCTCTGTTGAAGCTGTGGGTGCTGCCTCTCCAGTCGTTCTCATGGAGCAGAAATCTTTTGAGATCTGTGTGAATGACGCGTCTTCTAATTCCAGTTTTGCTCTGCCTTGGAGGTGTGCCTGAGGTGGTTTTGAAGTCAAACCCAGCTCCTCAAGTAATTTTCAGCAGTGTGCTTAAGGTGCTGTAGATCAGGCCAGGCGTCTGCAGGTATAAACTGCTTTCCAAGAACTAATACAAAGTTCAAGGGTAAATGAGGCTGTGAATATCCAGTTTGACCTCTTGGATGTCAAATGACACTGGATTTCACCCTCTGTTCTTGTATTCATCTCAATTACCTTATGCTTTGTGGCAGCTTGTGTTTAAAATGAAGCTGGGAAACTGCCAGGATAATGTTTTGGGGTGGCAGTGGGTAGGAAAAAAACAACTTTTTTAGTGCTTTGTAGGCTATGAGCTGTCTAATGATGCCATAAGTTCTCAAACTGAGTGACTCTGCTCTTCAGTGACATATATTTCTGTTGACAAGCAAGCAGCATGGTGCATTTGCCACATTGGGTGTATATCTGGTGCTTGGGTGCATTACAGAAATCATTAGCAGCAGTTTCTGGGTGCACAAAGCAGCTGTTTGCCTCTGGGGGAGCCTGAAACGTTTGTGTCAACATTTCTGATGATGAGGGGCTTGGAAGATTGATCAGCTCAGCCTCTGAGCTGTAATCTCAAGTTCAGCATGGGACAAAAGTACTTAAATAAACAGTACTATTGATGCAATTTCATCAAGAGTTGAATAAATGAATATTTATCATTTCTTATCATGTACAGCTCCACTGCTGTAATCACTTCCTACTCTGAAATAAGACTAGGCACTGGAAAGACCCTTCCCTTGGAGGCTTTTGCTTCTTCTCCTTTGGGCGGTTTCTGTTTGTGCTCATGTGGTCTGCTCTTCCTYTCCCCTGTGCTTCCCACACCCCTTCAGCACTTTTATTTGCTAAAATCTGGCTTAGGAAGATTGCTCTTGTCTTTGTCCGTAGCTCTCTTGGCTTTCTGAACCTTGCTTAGTTCACTTTTTTGTGTGGTCATCAGATGACCATAATCCTCAMAAATTATGAGAAACTTAAGAGCCTAGAAACAAGGGACGTGTTCCTCCTGATGCTTCACCAAGTTTTCAGTAGCTACTAGAAATCTCAGTGTTTCTTTCAGTCTGCCCAACATGAAATCTTGCAGGTGTATGTTGCTTCACACCTACAAAGGTTTTTTTCTTAGGTTCCATGAAAAATGCTGGTGCTTAGACTTATGTTTGTGCCTTGTTTTTTATATCACCACCAATCTGCTCTTCCAAAATGGTAATGTTGGTCAGCAAGCCTGGTTCACAACCGGACGGTTGGGCTGCTTGTTCTTGCTCTACCTCATTATTAAACTGCTTCTCCTCTTTCTGTCATTGTTATCTCTTCTGCTTGTGGAGTTAATTGAAATTTTGTCTTCCATTTGAGACTTAATCCTTTATTTGGTGGTTCTTCCTTTGTTTCTGAGTTTCCTGTCTACCTCTCCTATTATTTTCAAAGAGCTTCCTAAATACAGCCCCTTTACAACKTCAGATCTTTGAACATGTCTTCCTTTTCCCCACTTCTTCTGACACCATACCATTTTAAAGCCCATTTTCAAAATGCTGGTTTATGAATTTTGTCTCTCTCAAGCATAGTGTTTGATTGTGACTAAGCAAGTGAGCTTGTCCGTATTTTGTCACTTGCATGTTTAGTCCTTCAGAGAAGTTGCTCTTTAAGCAAAATTGAATGTGATATTCTGGAATGAAGTCTTCTACCTCACTTGAAGATTCATGTAAACCTAAAGGGGAAAAAAATACTTGAAAACATTTTTTTAATTGTTTCTTTTTTTTTTTTTTAACTTTTCCAAACTCAGCATAAAATCCAAGTTCTCTGTCTGCTCCTGCCATTCCTGTATTGCCACAGTGTCACAAGCAAGGTGTGAGCACAGACATGTCAAGTTGTTATGCTAAAGAGTAAACAACGTGGCCAGGAGATAGTCTTAGGAGGCAAAGAACTGTGTGAAGGAGAGAAAACTTTGGGCTTGCTATGAAGAACTTCTAGGCAGAGGTTGATGACACTGTTTGCAGTCTGTCCAGTATTTCTGGGACACTTTTCAGCCTGATGGACAGCAGTGATTCCTCAAGCATGTTTATTGTGAGGTACCGAGCTATTGCAGGCCACAGAGTCTTCTGAACTACCTTTAAAGAAGGATTGTGAAAATTTGAGGATTTCCAGAGTCATTTGCAAAATATGAGTCACCTGCAGCAGTGACTTTGTGGAGTATTCTTGGAGTTGAAGTGTGATGTCAGGTATTTCTTGAAGTGTCATCATATGTCTTTTGATTGCCGACACAGCTTAGTGGGGAGCAAAATCCCGTGTAGTTTCTTTAAGAATGGCTATTTTTATATGATGATGCAATCCATAAACCTTTCAAATATAATCTGAATGGGTTTTCTTGGGACTAAGGCATAAAATTCATCTGTGCCATGGGAAAGTAGGAAAAACAGGTGAATGGAAATGGGCTGAGAGCTGCTATTTTAGCTTTAAGCTATGGTTATTGTGAACAGGATTATTTCATGGGAAACCCTTTTGCACAGGTGCTTCATTTTTATGAAACACTTCATAAACAGACCTGTGGAAGTGGAATAAATAGGGCTGYGATAGTACAACAAATAAGGCCAAAGGAATGAAGAAAACTTGTAGGAAGCGTGGTGGTGTTCCTTCTCACAAGTGGCTAGTGCAGCTTTTGGTTCTTGCCTGAAAGTTTTCACTGAGCCAGACACAGGTCCTTAGCATCTCCTCCCCAGGGTGTTGCTGAAGTAGTCGATGGGAACTGTTTTCCATCTGTTTCTCGTCCTTCAGTTCTTGGATTCATTGTCTTTGATGAAGCTTTTCCTTCTGTACCATTTGGAAGCAGGGCCAGATCTCTCAGCAGGAGAAGGCTTTCCTGCCCTCTTTTTTTTTTTCCTCCATGAGGAATGTTACTGGCTCAGTTTTTCATCCAGATTACTGGAGGCAATTTGTTAAAATTCATGCTTTTTCTCTGCAAGGGYAGTGGCAGAGAAAGAACTTTCTATCTTGGATCTTTTGGAGTAAATTGATTCTTTACTTTTTTTCTCAACAATTCTGTTTTTTCCTARTTTGCTGTAGTAAACACTCATTTGCACCTAGCAGTGGATGAAGGAGTCTCCAGGAGGAAAAATGGAAGGACAAAAGGGTCTAATTTTTGTTGAATTTGGCAATCTTCCCAACATGCTGCGCTCACTGTTACCCTTTCTGATGTTCTCCTAGAATAAGAAATTCTGTAGACTTTAGAACTCAGACTTAAGGCCCTAAATCCATGGTAGACCTAAATGAGCCAGGTGAAATCACTGTTATCACCCAGAGTATCAAAATGCAGTAGAACAGCAAACTGTGAAAATACTCAATTTTTGAAGGTATCTTTTTCCAGAGAAACTTTCAGTTTTTGATTAAATGGGTCAGAATTATAATCACCAGCTTAAACTGAAAGCTCTGTAACTGGCTGAAATACGCATAAAAGGCATAAAGCTGTGCCCTTTAAAGGGAAATAGAACAAGAGTAGCAAGATGCAGTGATTCCTTCAGCCAGGCAAGCTGTTTTCTGAGAAGCTGCTGGATAACGTGTTGGTGTCTGCTTCACAGCATGAGTGCAAAATACTGTGAATTCATGCAAAGACTTTCTCTTCTGCTCGTGTTGCAAAGTGTAAAATGTCAGTGCTACAATATGCATCTTGTGCAGCCCAGAACTGTTTCAGTTCATGCTTTTGCTTCTTGAATTTGGGCTCAAAATCTGAAGCTTGTACTATAGCAATCCTAAGACTGTCTTTGCTGAAACGTGTTGAAAAGCTCATACTTAGAAATGGTATTGGAAATTGAAAGGATTACAGAATTTGTGGAATTACGTGATACAGCCTGATACAGTGATCAAAGATGATATTGTTGTAATTAAGGTACTGCAAACCAAAAAATCTGTATTTATTCTTAAAAGATATTATCAAGATGCACAGGGGAAAATGTTTGAAGCCACCGCTGGAAGCAGAGAGGCTAAAGAAATATTTCCTGCCTTCCAGTGAAGGGGAAGGTTTGAAGTCATCTTTGCAGAATGAGATAATCGTCTCAAAACTRTTCTGCCATGCTTGATGGCAGGTGAGCCTAGCCAGGCCGAGACCCAAAGTCAGTAGGTGCACACAGGAAAACACAGCTCAAGGAGACCCAGCTCARTTTGCAGACCATCAGCAATCTCTAGTTTACAATGAGAGTTGCTAGCAAGCAGCAATTGGAGTTTACAGTCCTCAGGTGTCTGGAGCATTTGCTTCATGCAGTTTTCTTGGTGCTGTTATCCTCACAAATAACAGGACAGCAAATTCTGAGGACTCGGGAAGTGCTGTCCTGTGTGTCCTTGTTTGGGTCATGTTCATGAAGCTGCAGTGTGCTGAGGCATGGGGCCTGATCTTGGGACTGGAGGGGGAAAGGGGTGCCTGGATGTCACAGGGACTCRAGGGGAGCTGTAACATCTTGGCAATACTGTTCTGGCTAGTGAGCGAAGCGGGAGCTTTGCTTTGCTCTGGCAAAGGAGGAGAGGGTCAGAGTTGTGCTTTGGTTTTTTAATTCACCAAAAATATCGATACCTTAGGTATACTTGGACCAAAAGATCAGAATGCACTTAAGCTGTCATTCAGAAACTGTAGCGCTCAGACCTCTTCCAGCAGTGCCTGTGTCTCTGTCAGATAAATAACTTTTTTAAAAGCTGCAGCACTGTTCATGTAGCCAGTAATGTRTGTTTTGTACCTAACAGTGAACTTTTAAAAGCTACTGTCATTCAAAGCCCCTTTTCTTCTGTCCTGCCTCTGTAGCCACAAAGGAATCGGTAAGAGCTGTATAGGTTAAAACCTGCTGGGATAGACAAACAGTTGCCAAAAATTCAAGGCTCTTTCTGTCACACTTTGCCAATGTATCAGGAGAGAAAAAGCATCTGTGATCGTGTGGTAGAAATGATGCAAGGAAGCTGCATACTGCCCAGGAGCATCTGCCCCTGCCACCTTTATTGGCCATTGGCAGCCTGGGCAGAGTGAGCAGTGAAGCCCCTGGTGAGGAGGCAGCCCGGGGGTCGGGGTGACACTGTGGGATTGAGGCCCTCCTCGAGCGCTTTCCCAGCTGCAGCCTCACACCTCCCGCCCCGGTGTTCCCAGTGCCGGCTTTCCTGGCGTGCTCAAGCGGGAGAATAGGCTGAGGAGAGGGAGGTAAGAGAAGCTTCCCTACCTGAYAGTCACTCTCTAGGCTTCGCAGGGCCTGCTGTGCATGCCGGGCTGTCCTGCAGGGAGGCCGGGAGCTGTGCGGCGCCGCGCCGGCCTTTCCCGCCTGTGCCSGAGAGCCGCTGCTGGCCCCGGCCCTGCTGCCTGCCGCATTTGATCCCGCCTCTCCCGGGGCGCCAGGGAAACCCGCTGGGAGAAGGGAACGAGGAAGCAAATTTCCTCTTTATGCAGGGACGGTAGGAGCCTTGGTTATCCTTGTTCTCTTCTGAGGGTGCAGGAGAAGGGACTCCTTTAGCAGAGGACTATCAGAGATGGCTTGTCTCGTGATGTTTACAAGGCCTTTTAGATGTCACTGTAAGTGCTCGTGCTCTTAGCTGACAGAAATGAAGACCTGTCAGGGAAGGAAAATGGCTTCAGATGTTCCTGGATAACTCTTTTATTAGCTGCTCGCTTCGTAGTGTACACTGGGTGACTTAGCTGAAGAAAATTAGTACACCTGAGACTTTCAGTCAGTCTTGTATTCGTTTAGAATGAGAAGCAGTTTGATCAGCTTGTGTAAAAACATATCCATCCTTTTTTCCTCTCAGAAGATCAGTGCTCTCCCTCAGGAAAGAAATGAAAGCTGTTCCTGCTCCTTTAGCAATTGCTTCTGATTTCCACTGCTGCAGAGCAAAGTGCAGCTGTATCATTGTATCTGCTGCTTGACAGATCATCTTGAGACTCGAAAATGAGAGAAGTGTTCACTTTCTTTAGGACTAAAAGGGGCATTACAAGGTGAGTAGTTGCCCTGACCTCCTCTCAGACGGYCCAATATAGCTGCACGGATAGGGACTTGTTACCTGATTAGCAGTTTATCAAACTTCCTAAATGAAACACTGAAGAATGTCATGACCTACCAGACTGAYGTGGGGTCGGAGTCAGGTGCTCACAAAATCCGATCTCGCCACTGCCACTTGCTCACTCTATGGCCTTTGCAAGTCGCCTTCCCTCCCTCCCCTGGGGCTCCTCAGCTGTGGCGCATCCGAGAGCGATCCTTGCCTGTCCGCCGGGGCCCTGGGGAGCAGTGAGTGCTGTCAAAACCCTACGTGTTGTTACCGAAACTCTAATACGTCAGGTAATGCAGATACCTAGATCCTCTGCCCTCTCCAGGCACTTGACTGTTAGCCTTATGTCTCAACACACTAAGATGTGCAGGATATCAGGTACAATGATGCACTTCAATCTCGAAATTACTCATGTCTTCAAGGTCAGGTTTGGTAACTTCAATATCTGTTTCACAGCTGCAATACCATGTTTTGGGCAAATGGTGATGAATGGGAGTGTAACTCATCTGTAATTCCTTTGTCTTCCTAAATATTTTGTTTATTAGGAAGCTGATGCTGCTATGAACATACTGAAAAATACAGAATTTGCAATATTGTGCTTTCTAGATATAAATATTTATATTTAACAGTGCTGAAACTGCAATGCAATAAATATATCCATGTAACAGACTGTTTCAAAGCATTTTATTTTTGTGCTCTGTCAATAWGCTCATTTTGCCATTGTTGAGGCTTCTGTTTCAGTGTTTTGGGCAGATGCCTGGATGCAGAGACCATAAGATTTGAATGCGAGCCCTGCTATGTGGTYAATGAATTGGGGCAAACTGCTTGTCTGTGTATTCAGAAGTATATTAATATGCAAAATAAGAGTATAATACATGTCTGATGATGTTTAGATTTGGACCAGAGATGCTAACTATATGGATGCTAACTCTATTTGCTTTTGRAAAACAAAGGCTGTGAGTGGCCATGTGAGGGTGCCTGTAATGAGAAGGATCAGACAGGGAGTTCACAGAAGAGGTCTGCAACCCATTGACTTTCGTTTGCATTTTAAAGTGTTGTTTTACACTAGGAGTCTGCCCTTTGTCCCGTGTGTCTGATTTTTGCCTCATGTCTTACCAGATGATTTACAGTCAGTGCAACAGTAGATTCTTTCAGGTTGCACTTGTAAATTAAATGGACAGAACTGCAAAGGACAAGATTTGCTCTTCGATATTCATGCAAATGCTTAAGGGTAAGCAGCTGCCTTCCCCCATTGGAGCCAGAGCAGTTGCAACAGTTGGGCTCTCAGGCTGTTTGAGAGACAAGTTCTGCACTGCCACAAGACTTAGTTGAGTTTTTTTCACTGTGTTTTCAACTTGTAAGTATTTTATATATATGTGTGTGTGTGTGTATATATTTTTCCAGTGGGAAAAAGCCTGTTAAAACATGATACCACATGATAGGAAACTTCATTCTCCTGTGACAACGCAGCGGACTGGAGCACGTGTGTGTTTTCGCTGGTGCTGCAGGAGAGGTAGGACTGAAGGCTAAGTGGTTGTGAAGAGCTCGACCAACCTTTTCCACCTGCTGCACTGCAAGTGCAGTGTCATCTCAAGTTGCTCCAGCTCTGTTTAGAGAAGAGGTTTGTGCTTTAGCAAGTAGATAAATACAGCTTGTAGCATGGGGTTGTCTACATGCAGATGACAGCAGCTGATAGCATTTAAGGAGACATTTTTGTCATATCCAACAAGACTATGTGCTTTACTTAATCAAATGATAGTTAAAGTGGCAAGAAAGTCACAGATTCCACTCCTGATTTTYGCTGCCCCCCGTGAGTTCTGTAAAACACTGCTATTTATGCAGTTTTTTGTTCTTTTTAAAGGATGATTTGAGGTAGAGACCAGTTAAGATCCCCATTGTTTCTCAAGTTTGGATTGTATTTGTAAAGATTGATCTGTGCTCACTTACCAGCAGCCTTTTTTTCGTGAGTTTTGGTGCTCTGGATTCCTCTGGGTCCTACATCCAAACTACAGGAATCGTTTCCCTGCAGCTGTCGGTCCGAAAGGGCCAGGATGAGAGCACGTGCAGGGCTCTCGCACCCTGCAAAGGCAGCACTAGAGACATCCAAGGTGCTTGTGGTCTGTGGGGACAGGGCTGAGGGAAAACTTGCTCCCACATCACGGGAACGAGCTCCAGCTGCGCTCCATGGTCAGCGGGAGCAGTGCTGTGTTTAATTCCACTTGGGAAACACCTGCCTGCTTTCCCCATCCCTATTCTGATGGGGGAAAAGAAGAGCTTGAAAAGGTACTGTGATCCCGGTGAAATATTCCCTGCTCGCTTTCCACGAGGTGGCAGTAGGATGAAGGATATTCCCAGGCGCTGTGCAGCCCGGAGCAGCTTCTCCCAGGCTGTGCTGGGGACAGAGGAGCCCACGGAAAGGCCCGGGCGGCGCCACCAGCCCCGCTGCGGCGGATCTTCCCTGCCTGTGAGGAGCGGGTGGGCGCCGGGAGGGCCGCAGATCATGGGGGTCTCCTCGCTCGGGCTCTGTGCTGAGGATGGAGCAGGCCAGGCGTCCTGTGGATCCTGCCGGGCTCTGGGAGCGGCGCGGATGAGGAATAATGGCAGCCGGGAGCGCGAGCGCTGCTGAGGGAGCCGCAGGCCGCACGCTGAGGGCCGCGTGCTCCTACCATGGCAGGCTCTGCGAAACCTGCTTCCCGCCGCAGCCCCTGCGCCCGGCTCCYCAGCAAAGTCACTTGGGAACGGCTRCAGGAAGGGGGAAGGAGCCTCAGCCTGCGGGCCGGGGAGTTACGGAGCGGGACGGAGCTCACTGAAATGTGTCACCATCTTTTGCCTTAAGGGCCTCTGCAGACACAGCAGGGCCCAGGATAGAAACCCCAGGGTAGGGAAAACACTCCTGTGTTTGCTGTGGGACAGAAACCGCAGCCCTCTGTGGGGGCAGCTCGTGGGAGAGGAGGCCGGGAGGAAGGGGCCGTGGCCACACGGCTGTCCCACAGGTGTGTGTCCTAACGGGCCGCACGCCGCTCTGGGTGTAGCTGCTGCAGGAATCAGTGCCCCACATTCAGCCAGGGCTGGCCGTGTGTTTAAAGGCTGCAGTCGTTTATGTGCACGCAATACAGCGGAGTAAACGCTGTAGGGTAACGTTCTGCGAGAATGTGAATGCGTTTATAGAGGTTTTCGTAAATACAGCAGCCTTGAGGGAAGCAACCAGCTGCCCTCCCGAGGGGGAGCCTGGCTACCCCTTTGGGGGCAAGGCTCTGATGGAATAAGTTTTTCCCATCAGAGCGTGGTCAATGGAACAATCATATAACATGCTGATCAGGAAAAAGGATGTGGGAGTTGGTGGAAAAACTGATACTATCGTGTTAATAGCATATAGGAAGAGGAAGGATGGCAAACAGGATACTAGGCTGCATTAGGCAGAGAGAATACAAAACAACGCTGAGGCTGAGGCTGGAGCCAGCACAGAACACACTCATCTTTGATGGCCAATATGCTGCTTGTATCACAGGAACGTTTGTGGGTGCAAAGTAGTTTACAAAACTACTTTGCAGMTGGTGTTGCCCCTGCTCCTCATGCAATGACCAGTTTATGCTGATAAGATAGCGGGTATTAATTCATTTTAAAGGCAGCCATGTGCTTGTCACTCCTTGTTGGGTCAAAATGCTCTGAAGTCACCCATTTCTCAGCTTGCTGTTTTAATTAAGTACACAGACTCTTAAGAGGGGATTGCACTGTCTGCAGTGCCTGGAGACATGGGAAGTGTTAGTGCAGCAGARTGTGAATCTCTTGCTCAGAGCCATCCTCTCCCCTTGCCTTGCAGCTATTACCAAGTGTAAACTAATGAACAAAGAGCTGCCGTTTGTCACAGTACCCAGCGAGCAGCTCTCGAAGAGGGTTGTGGGCTGACATGGGTAGGCTGCAGCCCCTGACCTCAATGAAAGCTCTTGCAAAGTTTTGCAGCCGGAGAAATTGTAATGCAGCAGCTAAAGCTACATCTCTATCTGCTGGCGTGGTGGAAATGACATCTTTGTTTTGATTGTAAACATGGGTCTGTGATGTCTCACTTTGCTCCAAAGYAGGGCCGTGTAGCTTGTGAGATGGACAAAGCTGCTTGTGCAAGCAGTTTAAYTGCAGCAGATGAGCAGGGCGTTTTCAAGGAAATGAGGAAAGGGAGAGCCAGAGTTCCCTGGGTTCCATGGAAGGAGCAGGGCAAGCGAGGTCCTGGGGAGAGAAGAGGCTGCTTCCAGCAAATGAAGGAAATGGTGAGAAATCACGGAGGCTCCAGCACCTCCTTTGCTGTGAGGGCAAACGTGGCACCTCAGTTTGGCCATCAATGGCCTGAGTTTGGCCATTGAGGGGGACAAGCAAAGGACCTTCCCTGCTGGACTGAGGTCTGGCATGGGCCAGGCTGAGCTCAGAGGCACCAGCATCTACCTGGTGACACAGGCAGAGCTGAGAGCTCCAAATTAGTGTTTTTTTTCCCCCCAATATCCTTTTATTTGCAGATATACAAGAGTTCTCACCAGGCTGCAAGCACCAGCTAAGAGGAGAAAAGTGACAAACTGCTGGTTTTGRCCATCTTTTACACAGCCCCAAGCTGTACATGGGACCCAGTTCAAGAACCACTGCCTTGCATCAGTGCCTCTCTCCCTTCTCTCAGCGCCAGCAGAGCCACTGGTGGAGCTGGCACACAGGTGAGGAAGAAAGGGAAGTGTCACTGTGACAGTCCGTGAGAGACAAACACGGGGACTGTCCCAGCAGGTAGGGAAATTCCTGCACATGGRAAAACACTTCAGTGCTAGTCTAGGAAGTTCAAAGTGGAGACAGAAACTTCCTCCTCAGTTTTTTACACCTAGATGTGATTTTAGAGGATGTGGTCCTCAGGCAGGAAGGGCTGGGGACAATGAGCGAACAGAGGCTCCTGCAGAAAGACATGTAAAGAACTTAATTTCCTGGCTTTTAGGAAGTTAACCCTTATTGTTCCCTCATCTTGGGTTTTGTTTGCAAATCAAAAATA